GACTTTACTCATATAGGGGTTGTATCAACGTTTATGTGACTCTTTGTTGAAATTAAGTGAATCGCTCAGATAAATAAAAGCTTGACCTGCTGAAACTACTTGTCCATATTTTTCAGATTTTTTTTTTCCCCGTGTCAGACAGATAAATCATGTGCAGGCTTCGTGAAAATGTTTTTTTAATTTTATTATATATAGGGTTCAGCCTCCTGATGAGTCGGTGAAACTCCGACGAAACAGTTTGTCACAGCCCCTCGTTTGTTGTCCTCTTCTCTCTCTCTGCCTACGGTTTACCGCGCAGTTCTGTTTGTGACGATATATATATAGTCATATTAAATCCGGGAACCGGGCTCGGTGTCCCTTATATTGCAATGCCAGGAATCGGGCCTGGCGTGCCTTACAAAGATTCTGCGGTCCTGTTTAGGGGCGAGGCATCACCGGCCAAGCCCAAAAACTGGACCGCCGCACACCACAAGTCCCATGTCAAAAAGAAGCCACAGAGAAAAAGAAACGACCAGCACTACATGGTAATGTCCCCTGCTCATCCGAAATTACATCCAACCCCAGCCACCCGGCCCTGCCACCCGCACGGCAGGTGTCTGTGCCCACAGGCCCCCAACTGCAGACGAAGACCCCGCAATACCCACCCACCTGCTCGCGATTCAGAGCAGATAGCACCTCCCCACCACTCTCTGTTACAAAAACACCACCTCCCACCACGATGCTGTTTTGCTGACCAGGGGATTACCCTACCTCCCCCGCCGCAGAGGCCAAAGGCCCCGCAAACCCACCCACCTCCTCGCGATTTAGGGTAAACCTCTCCCACAATCAGCACCTACTCCCTAATGGATGCCTCCCCGCCCACCAGGACAAGGCCCCTGCGGAGTGATGCTCACCATGCCATCTCAAGGATTACAGATGACTACAGAACATAAAGCTTGTTAAGATGATCAAACGAATACCTAACCCCGATTCATCATCCCAGCAGTAACACCCTACCTCCCGTGCGGCAGGGGTCGAAGACCCCCCCCGGCAAACCCACCCACCTCTTCGCAATTAGGGAGAACCACTTCCAGTGATCTGTGCCTGCTCCCAAGGAAACCCCACCGCCCACCATAATGGGGTCTCTACAGAGCGGCACTCTCTCTTCCGTCCCATCTCATGGTAAACGCGAAACAAAAACTCAACTACCGTCTTCACCCGAATATACGCCCGGTCATTATAGCTGTATTTGGCACAACTTTCAGCCCAGATACGGCGATAATTACCGGGCGTTCTATTCGGGTGAAGACGGTAGTTGCAACAATCATCACAGACAAACCAATCGACGAAAGACACCAAAGGCAAGAAAGAGCTCGTCAAACCGACAAAGAAGAGAAAGGAGATATAATTTTTTTCACCAAATAGGTGAACGCAAAGAGCACCAACAGTCAACAACAATCCTCACAAGCGAACTAACCACCTCTCTCTCTCTCAAAGAATCAGCAATACAAAGAAGAATTCAGACAACAGATACATATATCACAAGTTCACAACCAAAAACCTATTTTGGTTCCGAAGGTAGCAAGACCAAGGAACCAAAATCGGTAAGGACCCAAAAAAATCACCAAACCAGCAATGGTAATCCATCGCGAAACCTTAATCAATAGTCTATCTCAAAACCTAATGCAATCCACTATGTACAACTCTCTCTCTCTCTCTCTCTCTCTCTCTCTCTCTCTCTCTCTCTCTCTCTCGTGTGCGCGTGCTGTCACTTTCGGGCCCTAGCAGGAGCCACAGCAGGTAGCGACTGCTACTCCACAAAAACCGCATGTGCTCCTGCCACACTCACTCACCTCTCTCTCTCTCTCTCTCTCTCTCTCTCTCTCTCTCTCTCTCTCTCTCTCTCTCTCTCTCTCTCTCTCTGTCTCTCTCTCTCTCTCTCTGTGTCTCATTCAGACCCTAACACGGGCCACGACAGGTGAGCACATCCAATCCACAAAGTCGATGTGCGCTCCCGCTGGAGGTTGTCGGCGAAATCCCCATGCGCCCCCACTGTGCAGCGAACATGAGACGTGCAGAGGCAATCTCCCGTAGCTCCTGTCTCCCTTGCCTTCGTGGGCTGCCCCTGACAACAATGCCAGGGAAGGAGACCCCCACAAACCAACTCCATAGCAGAGATCGAGGGGCGTAAGCCCCGATCAGTCTCATCAGGTATAGCGCAGTGTCCGGATCCCACACGCCGATGTCCCCCACATATCATGCTCTCCCTCCTCCAGCCCCCTAACACCCCAGTGTTCTTCCCTGCTCCGCCATGGTCACGCCAGCGCCAAGTTTTGGCAATGGAAGCAGACAGGTTTCGTCAGCCCCGTAAGCGAGCGCCCAGCGCCCGAACACCGCCACTGGGGCGACGCGTTAGTCCCCTATGCCTTGGGCACTGGGCCCTTTTATTACTCCGTTCGATTTATTGATTGATTGGTTCGTCCCGATTGATTTTTTCGCTGAAGTTTTTGCTCGATCTGTGTCTGAGACTCTTCGAATCGTGCTACTGGATCGGTTTTCTGTTCTATGGCGCAGTTGTATGCATGGGTCGAGTCGGCGTTGACATCCGCTTTGACGGAGTTGTGTGCGGCGAAGTCGGCGCAAGAGCGGCGGTTGAGGGAGTTATGCGCGGTTATGCAGCACGCAAGCAGCAGGAAGGACAGCGGGGACTCGGAGAGACTCCCAGGTCGCAGTGGATTGTTCCTTGGAATCACTGTGCCAAGCCTTTCCCCACTGAAGATCGATTCGGCATGGCTGCTCTCTACATACCACAGGACGACGTGTGCTCTCATCCTGACGACCATCCCAGCACACTTCTCAGGTTGGTCGTGTCTCAATTCATAAGTACTCAGCCAGCAGTCAAGCAACGAATGTTCTCAATTTATAGTAAATAAATCATAAATAAGAAAGAAAAGTGATTTTTTTTTTTTAAACAATGATTAAATATTAAATGATCCTGACCGTCATTAAGACCAGCATCATGCTTTCCAGCCACAAACTTACCACTAGTGGTGCCTGGTCCTTCGCCTGGTCCTTCGCCTGGTCCTTCGCCTGGTCCTTCACCTGGTCCTTCGCCTGGTCCTTCGCCTGCTCCTCCGTCTGGTCCTCCATCTGGTCCTCCGTCTGGTTCTCCGTCTGGTCCTCCGTCTGGTCCTCCGTCTGGTCCTCTGTCTGGTCCTCCGTCTGGTCCTCTGTCTGGTCCTCCATCGGCTGAGTTGAAGTATTAACGTGAATTAACTCAACTTTAATATGAATTTCTCACCTCCATGTTGCACCTCCCTCTGCATTCTTTTCAGTATGAATTTCTCAAATCTGAATAAAATCTAAACCCTAAACCTGAAATCAAATATGACCAATCGAATCGGAACCAAATCTGTTCAATCGAGTCTGAATCAAATTTGAGTCTAATCTGTCCACCAAACGGCCTTATTAGCACAGTTGGTTGGTACGCCCATAAAAATCTGTTGAAATGCAAAGACCCGACTTCAAATCCAGATGCAACCAGGTGAATGGCGTTCCTGAATTAGCTGGGGCCGGTCGTTTTTTCACGATGATATCTCAAGGCCGTCGCCCTTTTAAAAAGAAACAAACAAAAAAAAAAGAAAACCTCAGTCAAATCTGTTCAATCAAATATCTGTTGAATCAAATCTGAATCAAATCCGAATCAAATTGGAATCAAATCCGAATCAAATCGGAATCAAATCCGAATCAAATCTGAATGAAATCTGAATGAAATCTGAATGAAATCTGTGAAAGTGGATCTGAATCACATATGAATCAAATCTAATCTCAAACCGGAATCAAATCTGAATCAAATCTGAAAAACGATTGGGGTTGTTGTTGGTGCGTTCTTCGGTACAGAGGTGCTTCGGCTGCATTTCCGAGCAAGGTTGTGGGAGTTCAGCCAAGCAGTGCGAAGGCGGGTGTTGGGCCTGGCGCAAGGAGGAGGAGGCCGCGGAAGCGCTGTCGGGGGGAAAGAGAAGGGAGTGCAGGAGAACGAGGAGGGGGGAGCGTACAAGATACTTCGAACCGGTTTGGCTGCAATGGATACGGACATGCTTGGGCCGCACAGCGACATGCTTGAGAAGGCAGGCGATCACAGAGACGGGGTGGATGGTAGTGGCAACACTCAAGGGAGCCCGGACGAGTCGTTTCTTCATCAGAGAGGGTTTGACAAGGCATTGCACAGACGGCAAAAGGTCGAGAGAGCGCAAATGATGCAAGGCAGTGGAGAGAGGGGGAAAGGGGCGGGAGAGGGAGGAGGAGACGAAGAAGAATGTGACGATGATGGGGAGGCAATGGGCCGGCGAAAGGTGCGAAAGAGAGGGGAGGAATCGGAGAGTGTTGGGGAGGAGGGAGAGGAGGGTGAGGAGGGTGAAGATGACGATGACGACGAGGAAGAGGAAGGTGATGACATGGAAGGCATGGATTATGTGTTGGGCTCCAGGGGTGTGGGGGTAGGATTAGGTGCGTCGGAGGCCGCAGAAGTTGCCGGAACAAGCTGGGTTGCTGATGTGCGGCGGGTGGCTACCCAACTGCGCGACCTTGGCTTGATGACGATGAGCGAGGAAGCGTATGCCAATGTGATATACTCTCAACTCCGGGTAAGAGAGAGAGAGAGAGAGAGAGAGAGAGAGAGAGAGAGAGAGAGAGAGAGAGAGGAAACGAACTGAAACCCTATCTTGCCACCTCTACAACTTCAAGAGAACTTTCTAACGTTTGCTTTATTATTCCTAAAAGCAATAGTCTCACCCGCTCTCGTTTAGATGTCTCTACTCCTCAATGTCCTCATACAACATTGAACCTTGAAAGAGTCAACGTCCAAGAATCGACACTAGCCTCTACAAAGCAAGCATGATACCCCCCCCTCCCACCCTTCCTGGCCCCTTTGGTATCTCACCATCCAACTACACCCCTTATTGCATCTTTAGAAAAATAGCACCGACCCAATATGCACACATCTCCACCGTCTGTTCCAAAGTGTTGTACAGCCTTTACCTAGCAAGGATCCACCTTAGGCAGGCAATGCAGACCTCTGCCATAGCCAAGAGGTCTCCTTCCTCCTCTACTGGCATCTGCCCTTCCCCAGAGTGCTCCCAGCAAGAGTAGGCAGTGTAGTGACCTTTCGCCATGAAGAAATAGCGAGCGGCTTTACCGGACTACTCTGAGCACCATTAGTTCTGCTTTGTCTTGGGCTTGGGGGTAGGTACCCGGCTACCTCCTCCCCCTTCCTGCCTGTCTATTAGCATGCGCCGGGCAATGATTGGCGCACAGCTCAGTCTGCACTCTATCTCAGCTATTGAAGTCTCTCCGTATCTGAAAGCTCCAATGCAAGAGCACCCATCGGTAAATTTGTACGTAATTGCGTTGTGGAGTGAAGCGTATCAGTCAACTTCGGTGGTGTGCAGCATTGATCAGTCCTTTCTCCTCTGAACAAAACTTGTTTTGACAAATTGGATGCAACTGCCTTGCAACTGTTTGTCCTGTTCTGCCTGTAGGGGAAGATACTGCGGCTTGGAAAAGAGCAATTTGAGAGACCTGTGCTGCCGCTGATAAGACATTGGATTGAGGTAACGGCTGTTCAGGCGCTCAACTGTAGGACCTACAATGTCAAGCTCTTGGTTGGTGAAAGAAAGGGATGCTTGTCAACGGAGTGGTTGTGTGTGTGTATGTGTGTGTCTGTTTGAGAGAGAGAGAGAGAGAGAGAGAGAGAGAGAGAGAGAGAGAGAGAGAGAGAGAGAGAGAGAG